GATTCTCCAACCCCTTTCCTGAGCCCAAGGCCTCCGCGTCCAACCCCGTGGGGCGCCCCCCTGGCCGCGGTGACGCTCCTCCTCTTTGCCCCGCAGGATACTATGCAGTTGAACTAGTGAACGACAGCCTGGAATCCTGAAGTAGGTGGCCCGGCTCGGGATCGCGCGGCTGTGGCGGATCGTGGGTGGTGGGACCAAAAACGTTCTCCCCACCGCGCCCCGTGAGCCAGAGGAGGGGAAGGGAGCAGGGCAGGGGAGCCTTGGGTGAGCCTCTCTCGGGCAGCACGTGTCGGAAAGGAGGTGCCATCCCCAGAGAAAAGATGAGAGGGCTCTGCAAGTGTGTCTGCTCCTCCTAGAGTCCTGGAAGAGGTGCCTCAGACAAAACCCCGAGCCTTCGCACCCTCCAGATGCCGGTGCTGCTTTTTCCTTGTGCCGGGCAGTCTTTTATTTTTAAGCTGGCAGCATACAAAAAAAAAAAATAAAATAAAAAAAGAAAGGGTGTGATGGTCTTCTCTGCAAAACCGGGAGCAGAATGGTGACAGCTCGTGCTGTCGCTGCCTGCCAGGTGAGAACCCGAGGGCCCGCGGGGCAGCCGGGCTGCGCAGGTACAGGAGCTCCGGGGCTTCGGTGGCAGCAAGCGATGCTGACTTGAGGCGCTCGGCCTCAGCGCTGAGCCTCTGGGCCTTTTCCTCCGGCAGGGTTGACGAGGATAGCGCTTTGCACAATGATCTCCAGATCCTCAAAGAGAAAGAAGGAACAGATTTCATCCTCCTGAATTTTTCCTTTAAAGTAAGGCTTTCCTGCCAGGTAACTTCCCCCGCTGCTCCTCGAGACGTGCCTGCCTCAGCGAGTCGCGTTCCTCAACGGCTTTGCTTCCCTTCTCTTTCTGCAGGATAACTTCCCGTTTGATCCGCCCTTCGTGAGGGTCGTGTCCCCGGTGCTGTCGGGGGGGTGAGTGGTTCTTTGCCTCCCTCTGTTCACCGAGGGCTCCCGCGGCCGTTTTCACGATGAGTTTATCCAGGGCAGTCCCATCCTCTCCCCAGTACTGGTTCGCAGTAGCTCTCCTGGGAAGCGTAGACAGGGCGGTGGATTCTATTTTATTTTTGGGGTTTTTCTGTGTGAGATCTGGTCGGAGGAAATGTTTCATCTCTGGAGCACTGGGTGGGCGAGGCTGTCCCTGTCTCTGCTGTAACTTTACCCGTTTCCTTCCCCAAGATACGTTCTGGGTGGCGGAGCCATCTGCATGGAGCTGCTCACGAAGCAGGTGGGTACCAGCCGGGACGTGGACTCAGAGTCATAGAATGGTTCAGCCTGGAAGGGACCTTGAAGACCATCTCGTTCCAGCCCCTGCCCCGGGCAGGGACA